AAGGCCTTGTGGCCCATTGTGATAGCCCGAGAATTGCCATTCCCTAATATAACCGATCATGTTTACTAGTGATGCATGTCTGAGACAGACCAGATCATGGTAATGAGCTCTACCAAGATAGAGTAGTCTGTGTTCTTGTAAGGCTAGACTGTCACATAGAAGGTGTTGTACCGAATCCATTTCTCTTCGTCCAAACAGCTTCTATAGTAGCTATAACCTGGGTAGCCCATACATTCCGACATACATATGTCCAATCATACAGTGCCCAGTAATTATAACAGTTGGCAGCTTTATCGAATTCTCATTAAGAGACAAGAGAGTCCTATCTGTTGTTAGAGTGGGCCAGTGCAGTCTCGATATTCTACTTACTTAACTCCCTATTTGTAAGCGAGTGTGGTAAAATAATGACTTAAAATGCTATTGTGTAAGTAAATTTTAGCATTTTAAGTCCCAACTTTTCAATATAGGTTTTTGCTGGGATGTAGCAAAAAAGAATAAAATCCTGAAAATCAGTGGTATTACTCCCAGAAGTTCGACAGTCATGTCCGCTAACGACTAACCAGCTGATTGGCTTTAATGCGTCTTTCGTCACACGACAGTCACCACTTTAGTAGCGAGAGCGGTGACAGACGTTTCTGTTCCATGTAATCTAAAGAGTGTACACTTAATAATAAACTTAAGCAAAAATGTTCATTGCCATACATTGACTTCTTTGGACTAGCTTTCTGACTATATCTTGGTAATCTACGATTGACTTACTCGTATTATAAGCGCATGTTAAAAAGGCTAGTCACCTGGACAGACGATGGCTGGGGCAAACCCTAAGTGTTATTTATATTTAATAGGTAGTTCGGAACTGTCCGGCCGGACTGCAGTGTTTTTGGTACTATTTTGTTCTTGAAATGGCACTTTCTTAATTTCCCAGCTAAAAAAGTTTATGTATGTACTATATATGGATTCATTATTGAAGCATATATTTTCATAGGTGTTCATGTCCGAAAATTGGCGGAATTGCCCAATATAAGTATGTATATAAATTCATGATATATGGAAAAATGTTTCATATATGATTCCATATATATCGCAATTTTTCGGATATGAACATACATACATATATATATGGACCATATTTATGGTCCATATATGGTCTCATATATGAAGGAGTTCATCATATCCAACCTTTTCCAAATTTTGGTTTAATTTAACTATAATATGGATAAGAAAGCTAGTATATGATAAATCGAAAAAATATCTGCCCTAAATCTGTCCTTTAAGGTAGAGTGACATAATAACACTTTAAATAGCGATTAAGAGACGTTTGCAATTTCACAACTTTAAGTCGATGTATCCAACACGTTCTCGTAATATAAATACGTCAATATCTCGACTTAAGTATATCAATTTTAAATGGGATGTTTTGTGGTTTTTCGATAGATGTTTTATTTTATTTTGTGGTTTTGTAACTGCCTTTTATGTACTGATTGACTGGGATGTATAATATATAGAGAAGTATGTATGTAAGTAGTAGGATAGTTAATGATGTTGTTACTGATGTCTTTGGCGCATGCAACACGTTTATGTTTAAAATCTAAATTGGCAATACCAATGAAGTACCAATGCAACGATCAACATAATTTAAGACTATCTGTCTGTTATTTTAACTTATTGTATCGCAGCTTATCTGTAAAACTTTCTCACTATAGTTATAAAATGATAATCATTCACAAGTGATCACTAACATAATTGAGAGATTTTCATTTTTCGTACCTAAATATTAAGATTTGATAACTTTAAATTACAGTTCTTATTAATGACAATTGAAACTGATCCTCCCAGTTATGCTATCTTAATAATTTACATGTAAAACTGAAAAGTGAGCAATAAATCATAATATTTTTTAACTATTATGCAAACTTACAAAGAGATATATTCTTAGCTTTAACAGGTAACGATCTAATCCTATAACTCCTTTTATAGTTGTACGATTTTCTCTAGATTATCTGCTGCGTAAGATCTTTTATTTGTTTTGTTTTAAAAGTTCAGCTAACAGCTTTCGCTCTAGCCACTTTCAGAAAGCATTACTCAATACACACATACAAATGCGCGTGATTTAAATCGAGTATTAAAGTAACATGTATCCGGCCACATAATAATCAGTATCATATTATCAGTCCCATGTGCTTTTATTATTAGCTTTTAGTTCATCCATCCATTTCAAGCCAAAGATTCTTCTTATTTCTGTTTATGTTCAACGTTAGCCATGCGTTTCTTATGAAATCTCTAAGAGTAGAACAAAATTGATTTCTGCATTGATAGAATTGGTAATGAATTTCAAGTTCAGTTTTATTTTTTTGCTGTTTTCGTTACTTTTTTTTGTTTTGAACAGGAACAAAAACCCCATAATCTCAATCATCTTTTCTGTATCTATACACCTTTTTTTAACGATGGGTTCTAAAGAAATCTACTTAATGCTGTGTATCTTAAGAAATGTTTTTTTTTTGTTTTGAGCTGCTATTTACATTCTATTGTTTTTTTGTGAAATGAAAAGCGGCATGCAACTCTAATGCATCGCTATTGTGTTAAATTATAGATACTAGGTTATTCGATTAATTGGGTGTTTATTTTAATCGGTTAAATCATTACTTTATGTTGTTGTTATTTAGTTTGAGAGGAGGATGTAAGTGTATACATCAAATCCGAAGAAATTCACCTAGGCCTCTATGTTCATTCTTATTTCATATTGAAAGCAACAAGTAAATTTGAAAATTTCTAAAATGTAAAGATCATATCTGAAACAAATTGGAAGTAAACATAGCAATTTTATGGAATTTTCCAATAATAATCGGTTAATCGATTACACTCTCTTCTAGCTACATCAATAGGTTTAATAACAATGTAATCTTTTCGTTTTTCAAGACATTTTTGTCATTTTCCATTTTATTTTCTAAATATTTATTCATTCTTTTCCCTATTGTAGTAATTTTCTATTCACCGTTAGCTGCTTTTTTTTAAATAATATCTTGGAATGTATGGATCGGTTTTTTATCACTTTCTGTTGAGAGAAATTTTTAGAGTTTTTATTTGGCTTTTATTTTCATTTTGTGTTGAAATGTAATAAAATATTTTTATAGCTTTAGTTCATTGAAATCATTTTTATCTTAGAATAAATGTGGGTACATTACATATCTATGTCAATTTGAAATTCTATTGAATATCTGCTTAAATTAATGTTTTACTAGCATTTAAAATGTTATTTAAAAACTATAAAATATGTTATCTTATAACAATTATAATAGAAATTGATTTTTGAAGACATTATTAAACCTTCTCTTTACATTAGATCGAGTTATCTTACGATCGTCATTTTGTTACGTTTATAGCTTTTTATACCAAACAAGAATTTTATTGAATTTTGTTATCGATCTCTACTCATTACTAAAGTTTATTCGGTTTCTTAGTATTCTGCATGAAAACCTTGTAATAAAACTGCAAATTGATAATTTTATGACATTTCTATTAAAAGAGGGTTATGCAGACCTTCTGAAATTGGAACAATATGCAGTTATCTACTGTAAACATAATTTACCAATTCACAGCCGGCGTTGTATCGTTGTATGTCGTAATTTGTTCATTATTATTTTGTTTTGAAAACAAACCTATAAAGACAAATTACGACGATACAACGCTACAATGCCGATTGTGAATTGGACAAATGTTTATAGCAAATAAACTAATGGAACGATTTATCTCACAATGAGATTAAAATATGTACACTTTTTTTACATGCATTTTCAATTTAGCAAAAAGCCTTCTGTTACCAATTAGCAGATAATTATTACTGTTAACAATATTTTATTAAAAAATTGTAAAATAAATTTTACAATTTATTCTTCTTCAAGTCAACTAATTGTGCCTTTTTATGGATATCAAAAATCTGTATTCATTACAAAATATAATTGAAAAAAAGTAAGAAATTATAGTCGGGCGAGGCCGACCATATAATACCCTACACCAGTTATAAAAATAAAATGTGTTTTAGTGTTCATTATAAAGCATTTAAGTTCAATTGTACCTTGCCTCAGATATACTTAAACCATATATTGTTGAATAAAATTGTGGACATTAAAGTCGAGTTTTGAAGGGGGCTTTTTATAGGGGCTAGGGTCAAATGAGGCCCTATAATTATAAAATTCATGAGGGTTATTAAGGCTAGTATAGAGCTTGGCTTTACAGCTTTTTATAGAGATAGGAGTGTATTAAACATAATTATGAACTTAAAAGGCCTATTCGGCGGGTTCAATTGTATGGGAGCTAGGTGAAATAATGGACCGATATTAACCATTTCCAATAGGCTTCGTTTCCGGTACCATACATCAAACTACAGGTCGCAATTGAAGATAATTCAATGAAATTTGGTACATGATCTTCTATCCCAGGGACGAAGCCTATTGAAAATGGTTAAGATCGGTACATTATTTCACCTAGCCCCCATACAACTGAACCCCCGAATAGGGCTTGTAAACCTTGTAATCAAACTACAGGTCGCAATTTTGGAGATAATTCAATGAAATTTGTTACATGATCTTGGACGGCCGAGTATGTATGTTTACATGGACGGACGAACAGACGGACGGACATAGCTAAATCGACTCAGAAAATGATTCTAAGCCGATTGGTATGCTTTAAGGTGGGTATAGGACCAATATTATTCTGCGTTACAAACATCAGCACAAACCCAATATACCCTCCCCACTAAAGTGGTGTAGGGTATAAAAATCTATTAAATAAAACATGAATCTATTGTAGGAACTATGTCAGTTTCTAATTTATTCGTTAAATAAATTAATTGAAACAACAGTAAAAAAAAAAAACAATATTTTAACAATTAGTGGCAAAAACAAAATATACAAGCATCTCAGGTGAACAAAGTGACAATGGAACCACAGCTTACGTTGGTCAAATTACAAAAAAATCTAACTATTTTTCTCCTATTTCCTTAGAGACCACATATGATGATAATGAAGATCAGTAAGATCATAATGATGATGGCAAAGTTGTTACAAGTACAAACAAATTAAAACGTATGCAGAACGGATGAAAATATATGTTGTTGAGATACATGTATGCTAAATACCAAATTTAATTATGGACAAGAATCTTGTTTCAATTACAGTCTAGTACAAGTAAATTTATAGTAAAAAAAACTTTAACAAAATTCTCCAAACAACAGCAGCAACAGGAAAAAAATAATAAAATATTACTAAAAATAATTACCACAAGTACGAGTACCCTCAGTCTGTTGCAATAAATAGTTACATGGACAGCAATTTTTTTTTAAATATTTGTAAATTTTACACAAATCCTGGTGGAACAGCCTCTTTGTGAAAAAAGGGAAAATTATAATAACAATATCTAAAGTAACAGCCACAATAATAATAATAAAAACAACTAGTACAACATGGAAAGCATGTCATCATCAATTGATCCCGTAGTACCACGTACCGCCAATTTGCTGGCATGCAAACAATGGTGGCGTGTTTGTTTCTTGTATGGTGATCAACAGAAATATTATCGACAAGTTTATAGCAAAGCTGCAGCACAAAGATTGGCATTATCAACAACAACTTCAACAGCTACTGCAACGACAAAAACAACAACAACAGCAGCAACAACAATATCATCAGACTTAACAAGTGAGTTAAATAATGAAAATGACAATAACAAGAGTCCGGAGGATCAGACGGTCGAGTATGATACGGTTGCCATAGATTTTATCGAAACACAATTAGACGAAGATGCTGAAGATGGAGCAGGCGATAAGCACTCAACTACAACAAAGATAACAAACAATATTAATTTATCAACAACAATAACAACCAAAGAACAACAACAACAAGCGCCAGTGGCTTTATTTCCCTTAAAATGTGATACAATCAATGGTTCAGGTGGAGGAGATACCAGCAGTGGCAGTAGTACCTTAAGAAAAAGTAAACGTCTTTTACGTTCTTTAAGAGGACATCGAAAGGGCGGTGGCGATACAAATGATACATGTTCAACGACATCAGCCACTAATAAGAAACCCACAAAACACTTGCGCGACACTTTGGAAACTTTAAAAAATTTAAGCCTTAATCACCACTCACTAAACAAACAACTACAACAGCAGGAGCAGCTTCCAACCAACCAATGTCAATTGTTAAATGAACCCACAAAACAAAATGCCAAACACACTCTATTAGATGATCCCTTTCTCTTGGGCATTGGTATCGATGAAGATCATTTGGGGGATTTAATACGTGGCAAAAAACCTTCTTACACTCCACCCTCTGCTTTGGAAAATGTTTCGAAATATTTTAATCTTTATACTGAAACAGAACAAGAACCTGAACCAAATTCTATGACATTCGAGGGGTTTGAAGAAGATAAGCCAGCCCTGCCACCAAAACGTAATGCTGGCCAACAGAGTGTTACTCAAAATGATTTGAAATTGAGTGAAAGTGATTTGGAGTTTTTAAATTTAAATTTACGTAATCGTAGTTTACCGCGCAACCTAAAACCCCTAAAAGATCCTCACAATATTAGTTTCACTTTTAGGGAAGAGGACGAGGAGAGTTTAAAGGCGAAAGAGAGTAGTAATTTAGATAATGCTACTGCGACGGCGGGGAGTGATAATGAGTAAGTAATGACTGTGAATTGGATTTTATTTCTTTATATTTTACTACTAAAGCCAACTTGAAAAGGATACGATAAAATTTTGATCTTGTCCCTTTTGTATTATAACTGAAATGCGTCGTCAGAAAGTATTAAAACAATTAATTTTTTTACCTGCTTGGTTCAAATTGTCGAAAACCTTTATAGTTTTTAAGTCTTTCACAATATGATTATTTAAAATTTTATTCAAACAATTTTCTAAAATTATAACAAAATCCCATTTTTAAACATGTTTATCTCGTTAACGTTATACGAAGTGATAGAATAATATTACATGTGGAATTTCAAGTCATAATAAAATGACTATATGTAGACTTCGCGATAACACCTATAATAAAGTTTAGAGTAGAGACGATTGGCTTGGATCCGATAAACTACAGTATTTACTGATGAATCCGAGATTTCTGACAGGACTTCTCCTTGAGTTTTTACCCTGTTTCGACATGCAGTTCCCATATTTGATAATCCTATGTTAAATTATGTGCTTTACAAACCTGATCGTATGTCACTAGTGAGTGTAAAGCGGTCTCAACTTAACCCTTAGCGTAAGCGTGTTGAAAGGGTATAAGAGTGATGAGTTTATTGTTACTCTGATATGAACGCCAATAATCTTTAGGTTTTAAACTTATAGGACTTAAATCCTTCGCCTTTGTGAGCACCACTTTTCCTCTTTTGGGAATGAACGTCACATTACAATTGGTCATTGGTGCGGTATGTAAGACCATGTAAGACAGGTTTGAAATATCTGCAATAGCCAGGGAGTGATTAATTTGAATTATGTTGCAGATCAGCCGGGATAATGCCATCAGGGCCCGTTGACTTATATGGGTTTATTTCTCATTGTATCATGCCCTCATTTATAACAATTTCGGCTGGAGCTTGACTGTATGTTTGAGGTCTTTCCATTGTGTTGTTACCTGCGAAAGAAGTATCCAACAATTCTTTTAAAGATTCTTCACCACTTGCCGTCCTTCCTTTTTAATATAGCCTTGAACGGTTTAAAATTTTGACAGGACGGCTTATATCGGAGGATACAGAATCTTTTACATCTAAAGAAGCTGAGTTTAGCATTTCTCAGGCATGGGGGGTAATGACTACATTTTCAATTACAATTACTGGTAATTCTAATTGAAGTTTATCCAATTATAATTATTTGTAATTCTAATTGAAGTTTCGCCAATTACAATTACTTGTAATTGTAATTGAAGTTTTGCCAATTACAATTACTTTTAATTGTAATTGAAATATTTCCAGTTACAATTACTTGTAATTTTAAATTTTGTTCCTTATAATTACATGTAATTTTGTAATTAGTAATACTTAAATTACAATAACAAGTAATTTTAATTGGAAACCCCAATTGCAATTACAAGTAATTGTAATTGGTTATTGGCCAATTACACATTACAAGTAATTGTAATTGGAAAAACTTCAATTACAAATAATTGTAATTGTTTATTTCTCAATTATACATTACAAGTAATTGTAATTGACTATGTAGTGAATTACTTTGTGTAATCATTACCCACATGCCTGGCTTTTCTAACCTAATTTTTAAATTTAGGTATACAGACAATTCACCAGATCTTTTGGCCTCATAATTTGCTTTACCTTTCCCGAGTTTTCGGAAAACTTATAAGGAGAATAAGCCGATTTTTTTATTAAAAGCTATTGTCAAGATTTAGATTTACTGTCATATTTAACATTTTTGCGGATTTGAATTTAATTCAGAAACCAGTTCGAGTTCCTTACTCTTTAGTTTGGTTCCACAATCATTATAATCTTGATATAGGGAATCTCAATGAACCACCACGGTCTCCTACTGATGTTGCAGCTTATAATGCTTAAGCCTTATGAACCTAAACTAACTCTTTAATGTTAGGTTAGGTTGATAGGAGGATGTATACTACATCAAATCCGAAGAAATACACCTAGGCCACTATCGGGCCTGTTGTGCGCTCCAATTCATGAAAAAAAAAATGTTTACTGAATGTATTATTTTTCATGTTCAGAAACTCAGTTTCCTGGTCGTAATTCCTAAGAATCTTCCAATCAGTGTTGGTTAAGTTGGTTATTTCCGGAATAACATCACTTCCAAAGATACTTGGATCTAACTTCGACGAATGCCTGACAGTGGCAAAGAAAGTGCTCCAGAGTTTCACTGTCCTTTCCACATGCTCTACATTCGTCTGAATCCGCACGTCCAATTTTGTATAGATGTGCACGTAATCCTGTGTGTCCACTCATCATACTAACCTCAGACCTGCTCATTTTGAGGAAATTTCTCGTCTTGCTCTCATCAGGGTCACCCCATAGAATCTTTGCGGTTCTACCCACCGTTTCATTATTCCAAGAGGCCTTATGGGATTCTCTCATCCAGTACACATGGCACCACTTATACCCAAGCAGCATGTACGCTGAACTCCCTGTAGTAGTTTGATATTACACTTTTTGTCCAAAGCAGTCCACCAGAATATTGAAGCATAAGCTAGAAATGATCTAATTACACTTTTATAAAGCCAATTTGTCATAGTAGGACTAAGACCCCATTTCATGCCTATGGTTCTCCTACATATCGCCCAGTACCGATGTGCCTTGTTGATCCTATCCTCTATGTGGTGTCTCCATTTTAATTTTCGGTCGAGGATTACACCTAAGTACTTAACTTTGTCTGTCACCGGTATCTTCTTTCCCAGGAAGCAAGGTTCAGTATACGTAGAAATTTTGTCTTTCTTGTGAAAAGACAAAATTTCCGTCTTCGCAGGGTTAACATTGAGGCCTCTCGGTTGAGCCCAGCTCAAGGCCGTATTCAGAGCCTCCTCAGCTCTTCTGCACAAGTAATTTGGATCCTTTCCCTTTAAAAGTATTACGACATCGTCTGCATAGCAGACAGGTCTAAGTCCTTTCTCGGTTAGGGTCCTTAGGAGGCTATTAATCGTGGTAACCCAGAGTAAAGGTGACAAAATGCCAAGGACGTAAGACTTATCGGTCGATAGGACTTAGGTGTCGCATAGCTAAAAATATTTTTAATTTTGGTTCATGGGTCCATTGAAAATCTTATTTTATAAATCATTTATAACTTTCTTCATAAAATACATATGTGCATGTATTGATGTTAAAAAGTCTTAAAAGAAACAATCTGTGTTTAAAACACTTTCAAAAGTTAAAATTTTAGATTAAAAGCTAAGAAAATGGTATTTCTGAAATATAATCTGCAAGTAATTGAATACTGCAATGTTTGGATACACATGCAACCAAAAGAGGAAAAAAACATGTTATACAGTGTAAAAAAAAGTGAAGCAGAAAAAAATGTGTAACAAAGAACAACTAACTTACAGGATGTGGACACTAAAGTCATTACATTTCACTGAGCATGCGTAACTTTCAATAAACAATTTCACAGTATTTTTTTATTTATTTATTTCTTCATTCCTTTCGGTTGAACTTTTAGCTAAAGCATAAATTACAAAAAATTCAATACAAAAACTCAGATTCAATTTCAATTTTAAAGTGAGAAAAAAACAACTTGTATTTTTTCTACATTAAGTACGATGTTGAAAAGGCCACGAAAAAAATGTTGCGGTTACCTAATGGTTTTTTTTTTAACAAAACATAAAATAAAATAATAACAAAAAACAGTACCATTCATTCTTAACTTTATACTTTAGTTGCTAAGTATTTAGACTTTCTGTATATGTTATTTTTGTACAAATTATGGTCAAATATGTGATGAATACTTCTACTCGTAGACTTCACCTTTGAAGTAAGTTCATCAGCTCATTTTAGTAATTGTGGTTTTTATACGAAAAAAAATTATGACGAAAAAAAACTTTAGAGTATTATTTGTTATTTTCTTTAAAAAACATTTTCATTTTTTTGTCTTAAATTGCTTTTGACAATACCAAAATTTCACAACTAGGTTTTATTACGTTCATCAACTTTATCGTCATCACCACCATCATCATTATAGTTATTACAAGTTTTTGTCTTATATGTAGTGTATATCGTACTGTTGGATTTTATTTTATTTTCCTTCCTTTTAGACTACTAGTCAGCACCAATGGTGGTCATTAAAAGAAGTAGGGAATAAGGTCGTAATTAGTTGCAAACTCAAAATTTGTAGTTACAGAGGCTTGGTATATAAAAATATTGTGCTGCTTGTTTTTTTTTTTTTTTTTTGGAAGCAATTAAATTTAACAAGCAATTTAGTTATAAATATTTGTGGTTGGAAAAGATTTTCAAAAGAATCTGCTTTGTTTTTGTAAAGCTTTGTAAATTCTTAACAATATTTTGGTTGGCTTAAAAAGGGCAAAGCTGAAAACTAATGCAGTGTTCAAATTTTAGGACACTATAATTGAGCAAATCTATTGAAATTTTCTATAAACAAGAGCACTAAACGTTGACATTTATATTCTCAGAAGCTGCTTGAAGCTGTTGCAAATTATGGTCCTACTTATCAATAAGGGGCCTTCGATGACAGTGTTCGATAGGTATGCTACATTCTTCGGCTATCGGTCGAGCAACGACTAATTACAGCGATACTGCTAACGCTTAATATGACTTATGAGCTAATGCTTAATAGAGATCCGACGAGATATAGGCTCTTTGCATGGGCAAAGCAGATATGAACGCAATCCTATGAGATAAAATCTTCAGCTCGTAATCAGCTAACTACGGTTTATTAGTTGAGAATATAATCCGATATGGTCGGCAAAACACTATGCGAAACTATGCTTAACTACGATTTATTACTTAAGTCTAGCTACGACCTGCATTACCGTTTTGAGACTAAAGTCACAATTTGACGCTTTTCAAGTACTTTACACTTTTTAACTAAATTTGGGACTTTAAGTCCTATCATAAAACTTTTTGTCCCTTTTCAAACAAAATTACTTTTTAACCAATTTTGTTTACAAATCCCGTTGAAAGTCATTTTTTATACCCACCATCAAAAAGATTGATTT